GCTCCTTCTTTAGCCAGCTGAAGACCAAATGGAGGGGTATCCCCCAGGGTTAAATAGACTCTCTCTTGTGGGAGGAGACCCCCCTCCTCCCTCCTATGCAAAGTCCAGCTCCAAGATGGAGTTCTGGAGTCACCTGGGCAAGTCACATGTCCCTGCATGACTCAGTCTTTACAGGCTGAAGCCATTGCCCACATGGAATCTTGCATGTCTCCAGGAAGACTTCTTATGTGGATTGGAGCATTCCAAGATGCATTGTTCCCTGATCAGGTACTTAACCTGGCGAATTCCTTCCTAAAGAAGCTGACCAAATGCCTCCCAAAGCTTACTTAGAAACCAAGCAAGCATACAGCCCAAAACATATTCCAGTTATGTCATACATACATTTATAAGCACCCCCTCCCCATAAAGCCTTATGGGGTACACTGTCACATGTGTGTTTCACATTATACAGTAATATTACTAAGCACCTATATAGCGCTTTTAAAAAAAAAAACTCTACACACACACACACACACACACACACACACACACACAGACTAATTAATCACACATGCACTCCTGACTAGGCAGTGAGTTTTTATTATTAATATAAAAAATCTCTCTTTTGAAATCCTAATCACAAGTGTGTCTGGCTTGAAACCCTATTTTGTATTTGTTTTCACCTTTTATTTTTGTTTCAATTTGTCTTTTGAGTTTTGTTGGGAAGAACAGGAGATTATTCTCTGCCATTCATGTCATCTTCGTCTCCGTCCCATCTCCTGCCTCCTTTTCCTCCTTTTAAGTTCTGCCGTTTGCCTTTTCTCTTGTTTAGGATTAAGGTTCACCAACCCCAAATCAACACACGTTTCATTGACGGTGCTCCACATCTTCTGCTGTGATTTCCTTCCCCACCGTCTCTCCATCTCAGGAGATGTTTTGTTTTCTTTTTGTCCAGTCTGTCAGTTGGCTTGCTTTGTGCGTGTTAGTTATAGAATCTTTCTGTTGATTTTAGCAAAGCATCATACACCTTTACAGTAATACCTATGTAAGAGAGATGGGGCCTGGGCCAAAATTCTGGATCTCAATTCTTTTGAATTCTTGTCTCTTTGAAACTGGGATCCAGATGTAAATTTGGTATCTTCAACCCATCTCTAGTATATAAATTATAATTGTTAATTAGCAATTGTTTGTAATTTATTATTTTATTTTACTAACAAATTTACTTGCACATTTCAACCCTTTTCACTGACAAAATTTCAAACACAAAAGGGACGAAAAATACTAAAAAGGATTTGTGTCCAGAAAATTACGATTTCAAAGCCATTTGGGGGGTTTTAAGTCTCCTATTATTCATGTTCATTCTCAGCTGAGCCTTTTACTTAAAATTGGTTTCTATTAATAGTAATTGTATCATTCAGAAACTTATTCTAGATTAAGGAAAAATATGTTTCTTGTTATTTTCACTGGCTTGTTACGACTTTTTATTGGCAGCCAATTTTAGATTATTTTTTTAAACTGACAGTAAAACCATTTGCTGATGGTTGGCAGTACAGATTACAAGGCTAGGAATAATGGGTCAGATTCATTTTAGACATAAGCAAGCATAGCTCCATTAAAATCAATGGATCATCACACAGCTATGCCATATAATATGTATATATTGCCCCACAGAATCTCTATGGAAATTCAGTGCACTGGTTCTTCCTATCTGTTATTAGCATCCCTGACTGTGTCCAGATTCTGTCTAAATGCAGCCGTTTCTTACCCTTCCCAGCAAGGCTTACAAAATTGAAATAGTCGGTTTAAAAAAAAAAAGGGGGATTCAGCATCTTAAATTGCCAGTTTGCCCCTTCCCCTCCCTCCCCCCCGCCCCATTTCTTCCCTCCACTTCAGCTGGAGTTTTCAGGCAGGCTGCTTGGTACATATTTACCATTTTGCTACCCAGCTGCCCATTGGCAGAGTGCATACGCACACAAGGGTTTTGCAAACTCAGGCTGGGCCTCCACTTTTGCAAAGTGAGCCCGGAGCAGTGAAGTGCTGTTTTTTTGTTTTTTTGCTGTAATTTTTATTTTTAATTTCAAAAAACGAGAGAGTGATTTTAGGAAAACACTCAAAGAAAGAGAGTGATTTTATATGTGTTTAAAGCATGAATTGAAGCTGTGAGAATACTAGAAAATTCTCTCTTTGGCAAGTAATTTGTGAGAATATGGTTATTGCTGCTCTCTTGGCTTAGTACAGTTCAATAAGTCCCAAGAATGACAAAAATCCGTTTCCAAATAATAAAACTATTATTATTATTTATTATTATTAATTTTCCTTTTGTCTTCCACCAGAGGATCTCCAAGCACATGTCAGTTAAACCTTGTAAAACCCTCTTTTTTAAAGGCAGGGAAACTGAGGCACAAGTAGTTTAAGGTCCTGATCCTGCAATGAGCTCTGCACAGGGGTCCTGCTTGTTGCAGGATCAAGGCTGAGGGCTTCGTCCAGCTCCCACTGAAGTCGACATGGGTTTTATTGTAGACTTCGGGAGTAGGATGAGGCCAGAAATGACTCATGCAAGATCACATGGGGAATGTGTGCAAGAGCTAAGAGCAGAAGCCAGGTTTCCAGACTTGCAGCCGTCTGCCTTATTCTCAGATCTGCCTTCTGTTTGTGATGCATTTCAGCACATTTTGGGGAAATCAAATCCTTGTGTCCTTTGTTTCAGTCATAAAAAATGAGAGAATTGGGAATCCTGCTCTGATTCTGTCTCCTGTTGTATTCTCTGTGTGTGCAACAGCCAGTGCATCAGGTAAAGCAGGCTTGTATTTATTTGGGTTTGCACAGTTGCTGTTAGTGCCTCTAGTTTATCCGCTGTGCAGATCTGAGAACAAGATTTTGGTTCTTGTTAATTTTTCTTCTTGTGAGAACAAAGAGCAGAGCAATCATTTGGTCAGATTCTGGAGTCAGATGTGATCGCAGAACAACAATATGTAGAAATCAACCCCGGGGAAAAGCCCTATGGATTGGAATATAATAGAGTGATTGCATTTCTGGAGAGCACCGTGAACCCACCTATACAATTCTAGGTTTTTATAGCTCACTATTAAATTTCTGTTGGTTTTAGCCCTCTGGGATTTTCCCCTAAGGGAAGAAAAAGAAACCAATGTAACCAAGAGTTAATATTCGTTGAATGATTATTTCCACCGTGAATGAGCTAATATTTGTGCAGCTGTTTGGAAATACAAAGCCATGTTATTAATTAGTCTCGTGATTTCTAGTTTTTTATTTGCCTTTAAAAATATAATGCCCTTTAAAAGACAAAAACAAAACCTCTTCTTCTTCCCATTGTAATTGAGGAGCATGTGTAAACAGTCTGCAGCCCAGGCTGGTCATGTGGAGAACACGATGCCCCGAATAACTAAATGTCCCCTTGCATTGGCCTCACATCTACCTTCCCTGTCACAACCTCATGGGGGTGACCTGCAAAGGCTGCGGAAACAACCAGAACTGGCAAGAGCCCACGGGGCCAGCCAGACGCACACAGGACTCACGATCTATTTATTAAAGCGTCGTGTCTGCAGTGTTAACTCTCAGTGCACCGATGGGTTTCCCCTCGCCTGAAATGGGGGCTGCAGGTGCTGGCAAAGAACCGTCGGCAGGAAATGTGTCTGCAGCCCCTTGCCCCTTAGCCACCACGCTCTAAGCTCCAGCAGCAGCTCACCAGTGGAGATCTCTCTGCTGACCACAGCCGTGGGGCACATGGGGACTGCTCTCTCCCCGTTCTGTCTCCAGCTGGTGGCAGCTCTTGAGCCTTGGAAAGGATGGGCTCAATCGGGGCATTCGCCCTGGCACTTCTGCCACCAGTGGGGCCTGTCTGCAGGGTTCCTGTCCCACAAAACTTGGTTCAATCCTCAGTGCTGAGGTCTCTTTGCCATGCCCACTCTAAGGAGGGCTGGTGAAAGGAGTCTGGTTGACAGCCCTGGGGACAGGAGCCCTCTATTTACCCCCAGAGGAAGGGACAGCATGGGAAGTAGCAGTGCGAGCTGGGGCTGCCACCCATCCAGGTTTTTACCCGGACAGTCCGTTTTTTGGCTTCTGTGTCCAGGTGCCATTTAAGGTTGCCAGCTGCCTGATTTTTGGAGACCTGGCAACCCTTAATCGCACCCAAACCAAAAGCCTGGTTACCGTGGGGTGGAGGGAGGCACCAGCTCGTTAACCCGCGCCAGCCCCTGCTCAGCCGAGGCTGCCTACTACCTGCAGGCAGGCTCCTTGAGATGATCCAGCGAGCAACGGGGGAAGGGGGCAGAGGAGCAACAGGGGCGGGGCTTGGGGGGGGAAGAAGTGAAGTGGGGGCAGGGCTTGGGGGGAAGAGGCGGAGAAGGGAGCAGGGCCTCTTGGGAAGAGGCAGGTTGGGGGCCAGAGCCTCGAGGCTCTGGAAGAGGTGGAGAGGAGGTGGGGCCTTGGGAGAAGAGGCAAGGCAGGGGGCTGGGCCTTGGGGGTCCAGTTACCAGCCATTAGAAAGGTGACAACCTAGTGCCAGCGTCTCCCAACATGCCCCACCCTACTCCAGAGGGAGCGCCACGGAGGTGAGAGCAGAGTCCGCGGCCCATCCAGGCTGAGACTCTCCCAGTGAGACTGTCACTAGGGGGCCGACCAGCGACAGTTGTGCTGTGGGCTCTGGCTGCTGGGAACTGCTCCAGGCCCCAGCTCACTTCAGGCCAGGGCCAGTATAGAGTCATGAGCTGGTGATTGCGTTGAGTCACTGCCAGCGGGCTGGGTTTGAACGGGTGAGCTAGAGGCGCACTAAGGATTTGCAAGCAAGGGCCAGGTCAGCATAAATAGGGCATAGCTCCATTGAAGTCGGGGGCCAGATCCCCAGCTAGTGTCAGTCGGCACGGCTCCACCGACGTGGCTAGAGCTATGCCGAGTTACCTCAGTGGAGAATCTGGCCTTCACTGCCTGCTGAGCTGTTGCTATTGTTTGTGTTCATCCTCAGGGCATTGCTAATCGTTCCCTCCCTCCTCTGTCTCTTCTCACAGTTCTGAGTATCCGGGGAGCCCAGGAAGAGGAGCCCACAGACCCCCAGCTGATGCGACTGGACAACATGCTGTTGGCAGAGGGCGTGGCAGGGCCTGAGAAAGGAGGAGGATCGGCGGCGGCTGCGGCCGCAGCAGCAGCATCCGGAGGGGCTGGCTCAGACAATTCCGTGGAGCATTCTGACTACAGAGCTAAACTCTCGCAGATCCGACAGATCTACCACACGGAGCTGGAGAAATATGAACAGGTAACAGGCTCATTCGCGGAGGCTAAGCAGAGGCTTCCCCCTCTCCCGGCCAAAGCAAAGGCAGGGTTTAAATGAAGCTCTGATCAAGGAAATAAACCCATTCAAGGGATAATCTGCCCATACAGCAGAGGGAAGATAATGCAACAGAAAATGGAGCCGATAAGAGAATCGGTATGTTACCTACACACAATTCTATACGCCAAGCCAGCATGGCTGTGTGTATATGGGCTGGAGCGCTAGTGACATCTATTGTCAAGGTGGCATGAGCATAGCTGTTACACACCCCTGTAGCTCAGAACTTCCTGAGACATCCACTGTTCAGGCTGAAATCCGACATGGGGAGCTGGTCAACATTTTTGCACAGTTTTTTTTTTTCATTAGAAGAAAAAACTAATTATTATTATTATTATTATTTTATTATTAATTTGTTATTATTTATTTATTCATTTGCAAAAAATTGTTGGTGTCAAAAACAATCTGGGGTTTGGTTTGGTTTTTTGCAAAATTTTCCATGATGCATTGTTTTAATCCATGTTTTGTTATCAAAATAGTGTCAGCATTTGAATCAGAATCATTCGAGAAATGCTTCGTTTACTGAAAAGCCCATTTTCAGTAAGAAAACCTGGCTTTTTACCTAAGGATTTTGATCAAAATTTTGATAAATTCATTGAAAGCAACCCTGGAAAACTTTGCGACGAAGGCAAAACTGGGCCATTTCAAACTCTGAGATTTTTTTTTGCAAACTCATTCTGCCACTTTTCAACCAGCTCCTATGACAGGCTTTATAGTTATGGAGATATATCTATCTCATAGAACTGGAAGGGACCCTGAACCGTCATTAAGTCCAGCCCCCTGCCTTCACTAGCAGGACCAAATACTGATTTTGCCCCAGATCCCTAAGTGGTCCCCTCAAGGATTGAACTCACAACCCTGGGTTTAGCAGGCCAATGCTCAAAGGACTGAGCTATCCCTCCCCCAGGCTTGGGTAAAGGGGATTGTTTGGTTTTTAAGCTTGACCAAAAAATATTCACCCCCTCTTAGGAGTAAAAGGAAAGAAGAAGGCTGGTCCAGTGGTTAGGGCCTTAGCTTGGGCCTCAGAAGACCTAGGTTCAATTATCTGTTCTGCTAATGACTCACAGCACCCCTGCGCAGGGCTTGCCTGATTACCCCCCTCCGCCGGCCATGCAGGGCTTGCCTGATCCACCTGGCGTTGTGCCGGAGTCTGATTAGTGGATAAAGACTTGGGCAGTGAATCCCTGCCATACAACTTCCTGTCCTTCTGCTGAGGTGGCTGTGGGGAGCCCAGGCAGCTGTTGACAGGGGAGCCATGAGTCCGAGTTGGGGCAGAGGACCTGAAGCTCGGACATCAAAGCCTGCTGGCCAGGTCCCCTGGCTGTCTGGCCTTTTCAGAATGTCTCCTAAGACCTCTGGATACTGGGTTCTGCCGTAATGTCACTATCATGACTTTCCATCTGCAAAGAGCCCTGACATTGTTCCACCTTTGCTCTCGAAATGGCATGGAAAGGGATAGTGAGAAGGGCACCTTGGCCAGGACTGTCTTGATCTTCCCTGCTGCGTCCTGGGACCCACCAAGCTGCCATCTCTCTGGGCCAGAGAATCAGAACAGCTTTCCCTCTCCAGTTCCCCCCTCGGGATCAGGGGCAGGGCTCAGGCAGCCCTTTCCAGAGATCCTCAGGCTGCCGGCACTGGTGGCCGTAGAGAATTCAGCCCAGTTCAAGATGGTGCAGCAGGTGATTGGATCCATCTGCAGCCTGTCAATTTCAGTGCCCTACACACCCTGTGGGAGTGCGGAGAGAGGTGACAAGCCCCAAGGGGATGCTGGAAGGGCCGTCAGAGGACCTACTGAGTGTCTCCCCAAGGAGACCGTAAGTTGAGAGGATCCAGGGCTTTTGTGGGGGAGAATTGTGAGGCCTGCTGAGAGGTTTCCACATTCAGACAGGGCTTGGAGAAGCAGCTGCGCTTTAGGCAGGCTAGTGCGGCTGCTCAGCTCCAAATGCTTTGATTTCTTCTCTTGACGGCTGAATGTGGTTTGTGACCATTGCATCCCGACCGCATCAGTTTGCGCTAACCTGAAATCACGCATGTGGGTGGTCGCGTGAGCCTAAGGTGTGGGGTAGATGTCCCTTCCAGGTCACAGCTGTCCTGCCGGCAGGGAAGCTGGCCCCAGGACACAGGAGCTAGCTGGGACAGGTCCAGTGACTGGCTTCACCTCAGGGACCTGATGTTGCTGTGACTCGACACAGCTTTTCCCTGCAGTTTTGTCTATAACAGGGGTAGGCAACCTATGGCACACGTGCCGAAGGCGGCACACGAACTGATCTTTAGTGGCACTCACACTGCCCGGGTCCTGGCCACCGGTCCAGGGGGCTCTGCATTTTAATTTAATTTTAAATGAAGCTTCTTAAACATTTTGAAACCTTATTTACTTTACATACAACAATAGTTTAGTTATATATTATAGGCTTATAGAAAGAGACCTTCTAAAAACGTTAAAATGTATTACTGGCACGCGAAACCTTAAATTAGAGTGAATAAATGAAGACTCGGCACACCACTTCTGAATGGTTGCCGACCCCTGGTCTATAATGTTCTTTTGCATGTGAAGATGAGGCAGGCTGAAACTACTTGGAGTCTGTAAGCACGGGGCTGGCTCTTTCAGCACCTAGGTAAACAGCCAGGAGGGGGTATAGCAGACCTCTCAGACGAGAGAGGTTTCACTTACGTGGATTGTATAGGGGCCAGTGGTTCTGCTGTACAGTCACCTTCACAAGGGCTCTGACCAACTAGCTGTATCTACTGGGTAGTTAGCTACAGTTGATGTCTTTAGAGCATCATGGGATGATGGGACAGCAAGGGGAGTGGAGGATCCACACTCCATTAAGAACAGAAGGGGAGAAGCAATTGAAATGATGTCTTCAACTCAGGGGATTGAACCCAAACCCTTGGGTTCTCCCGTATAAATGTCAGTCTGTGAAAGGGTGAGGGGCTGTTTTACACCATATACAGGTTGTGCCCCAGGTTACCTTCTACCCTCCTAAGGAAGACACAGTCCGAGCGTACACAAGCTCAGAAAGAAGGGAACTGCGGAGTTCTCTGAGAACACCTTCCCCATCCTGGTGAGGCCTCAGCTGGAGTAGTGTGTCCAGCTCTGGGCGCCACACTTGAGGAAAGATGTGGACAGGGTGGAGGGAGTCCAGAGGAGAGCAACAAAAATGATCAAAGGGTTCGAAACCCTGACCCTTGAGGAAGGTTAAAAAGACTGGCCCTGTTTAGTCTTGGGAAAAGAAGACTACGGGGGGACCCTAGAACAGTCTTCAAATGTGTTAAGGGCTGTTAGAGAGAGAATGGGGATCAATTGTTCTCCATATCCACTGCGGGTAGGATAAGAAGGAATGGGCTTCATCTGCGGCAAGGGAGATTCAGGTTAGATAGTAGGTACCAGGTTTCTGTCTCTAAGGGGAGTTAAGCTCCAGAACAGGCTTGCAAGGTAGGCTGTGAAATCCTCGTCACTGGAGGTTTTTAAGAGCAGACTGGACATACACCTGTCAGGGATGGTCTAGGTAGACTTGGTCCTGCCTCAGTGCTGAAGGCTGGACCTGATGACCTCTCGAGGTCCCTTCCAGCCTGACATTTCTACAGTTCTGTGAAACAGGTGATTGTCACAGTAGTAGCCTCCCCTTCACAGCATCTCCCGAGTGCCGGAGAGTTCTGGCTTTTGGGGCAGTTGCTCCAAGACTACCCTTATGATTTACAAGTCCCAGCAAGAGCAGGGCCCCGGGTGCCACAAGGGCAGTGAGCTACCCCGTTCGGATGGGTCTGGGGAGAGAGAGCAGCAACTTGCCCCGTGTGAAGCGGGGGCACTGCTCTGGGTGCGTTGCGTGGCTGTCCGGGGGCCCCAAGGTGTGAGGCCCAGCCCAGCCAGCCCTGCTTTCAGCACAGAGCAGTGAAGTTCTTGAGCAACTCGTTGCTTTTCCTCTTCATCTTTGCAGGTCGCCTCCCTTTCAGAGCCGGGCTGTCATCTGTGTTGCTAAGTAGTTTGCTTTCCCTCTGGCCCAGCAGCCCCTGGCTGCACGGACCTGCCAGCATCCAGCATCTGATGCAGCAGACTGAGAAAATGTATTAAAAACAAACATCCCCCGTGGGCATGAGAGGAGCGGGGGACCACGGGTGGTGGGAGCACGCGCAGCGGGGCGGTGCTGTGCCGTCAGCACACTAATTCCAGTGATTACCTGCTTGCCCTTTCATGTCAGGGCGCCTGTCTCGCGCTGCCTGCGCTGCTTTAATTATTATCATTATTGACTTGTTATCGGATGTGCTGGAAACCTACAGCACTGTGTCACCTCAGTGCTCGCAGCCACTTGATGTGGGTCGTTTGGGGGGCTCTGACTCCTCCCCCTCTCTCTGGGACCTGCATGCCTGCAGAATTAACCGTTCCCCGTGTCGGCAGCCCAAGGTGCGTTTGAGCCACCAGCAGCCGCTGCTTCCCACACTTGCTTCTGGCCCACTCCCACCATCCTGTCCTTTGGCACCTCTCTCCCCCTGCCTGAGGGGCAAGCGCTCCGAGACCTGGGACCATCCATAAGTAACATCTGTAGCACACACAGAGTTAGGACAGGCCACCTCACGTGCATCATAACAGCAGCTGATCCTGGGTGGGCTTAAATCAAGAAGGAGTTGGCAGCTCCCAGGCACCCCATTGCACAGCAGACCACGTGCATTATGGGAGAGCTGGTCTCATGAGGCACTGGGTACTTCAGCAGGATCGCAGGCCAGTATACTCAGACTGTTGGCCTCCCTGCAAATGGAAGGAGGAGGGATACCAGACTGGTCGAGATGTTGGTCTGATCCAGTATGTCAGGGATGAAGGGACCAGTATGGCTACCAGATTGAAAGGACCGTGGTTCTGATCTGATGTGACAAATCCTATATTTTTCTGGCTCCTCCAGCCAATCCCAAAGCAAAAGTAATAGGGGGTAGCGGGGGTTTTCAGCCTTTGTCCCAAACAAAAGGCTTTATGCAGCCCAGCTCTTCCCATTCCCCCAGCACCAAGGAAACAGCATCAACTCCTCCTCGCCTGCTCAGTTTGGGTTCGGCAGCCTACCCCCAAAAGCCCATTCTCTGCAAGGCAGGAGAGAGAACTTTTTCCTCTCCCTATGGAGAGCCAGCCTAGCCTGGCCTCCTCGTTCCCTATATCTCTATCCTAATGACCCCCAATGGAAGACTCTTCCTTTCCCTTCCTTAGGCATTCAGAGTGGGACAGTTCTTCTCCCTTTCCCCCCCTGCAGCTTTGAACCCCTTCCCCCCTAGGTGTGCACAGTCCTACACCCATTCCCAGACCTGGTGTGAGGATCAGCAGTAATAGTAATTAACATTTACAGAACTCTTGCATCTTCAAAGTGAAGTACCAATATGTGTTAATCGGGGCCTGTTCTAAAGATTAGAGAGAAGGGTTTGGGCCAGATATGGATTATGTGGCTTCCCACCTTCATAGTGTCTGAGCACCTACTGTATTTATCCTCACAACACCGCTGCGAGGTAGGGAAGTTCTATTAACTCTGTTACAGATGGGGAAACTGAGGCACAGAGCAACTAACTGATTTGCCTGAGGCCACACAGGGAGCCTGTGGCAGAAGAGATACTTGAACCCAGGTCTCCAGAGTCACAGCCTAACACCCAACCCACTGGACCATCCTTCCTTTCTGATCCCTCTTAAAGCTCCTAAGGCCTCTGCCCAACCATCCGTTCTGTTCTGGATTCTGTGCAGTGACTCCCAATCACTGTCTCAGATACTGGCTGCGCAGTTTATTGCTGGATGTTTTTCGCCTGTTTCTCACTTAATCTGTTTCCCTGGCGGGCAGCCCATCACCAGACAGATACAGAGGAATGGGAGGAAGCTGAGGAAAGGGCAGCCACATAGATCCAGGGGCAGGAGGGCTCCTAAACTGAAGAAGGGTTAAAAGCTGACCGTGTGCAGCCATGATGAAGGGAAGGCCCTACTGTGACTGTCTGCCGCTGGTAGAAGGATGGGAGCACTCAGAAAGGAGAGGGCTTGGTTAGAGTGATCCAAGGAGGACCCAGGGTTCCGGGATGGAAGCGAGCAGAGGACAATGGCAGTTAAGCAGCAGGGAGATGGTGTAGAGGTGAGAGACTGTTATAGTCCTCTTAAGGTGGAAGCTCCACTACTTGGGTCATTTTAAAATCCTAGACTGGACAAAACACTAAAAAAAAAAATAAGGGAATAATCCCGCACAAGCTGGCGAGTGGACGAGGGGCCTGATCCAAAGCCCATTGAAATCAGTGAGAGTCTTTCCCTCAAGTTCTCAATGGGCTGTGAATCAAACTCTAAATGACCCAACAGGTCCTCTCCATCTGGCCGCTAGGGATACTCTGAAGGGTTGGGCCCAGTTTCGTCTCCTCCCTGGCCCATTTTAAGGCTCTTTCCTTTAGAAACCCTCACCACCGACTCAGGGCTGAAGTTGCAGGCAGCTTGATCCCCACCGTGGAAAGGGGAAGTGGTCCGACACTATGGAAACGGGTGCGGTGTCAGGTTGTGGCTGGGTGGTTAGATCTCAGCTGGTTGCTGTGCTGCTCCGTGGGGGCCCTGGGCTGGTGTCCTTATCTGGCTGTGCTGGCACCATATAGTCTTGAACACGGCCGAATGACCCTCCGATCCCGGGGTTTCTTTTGTTTTTCTTGCCGTCCCAGGCATGCAACGAATTCACCACCCACGTGATGAACCTCCTGCGCGAGCAGAGCCGGACCCGGCCCATCTCACCAAAGGAGATCGAGCGGATGGTCAGCATCATCCACCGCAAATTCAGCTCCATCCAGATGCAGCTCAAGCAGAGCACGTGCGAAGCCGTCATGATCCTGCGCTCCCGATTTCTAGATGCGCGGTTAGTTCTCCCGTCTCCCGCCTGAGAGAAAATGCTTTGGCAGGGGTGGGAAGGGTGGGTGTCTCATATCTCATGTTGGCCTTTAGACAGAGCAGACACTGCAAAGATCTGCTCTGGTCTGGCAGAGGTGGGACAACCAATGGATCTGATCCAGTATGAAGGCAAGGGACCAGAACAGACGGGCTAATGTGGTTTGAGACGCAAGTGGATCAAATCCCCAGCCCACCCTGACTACCCTGTCATGCAGTCTCCTTCACCAGCCCGCCTGGGGACCAACCTTCTAATCAGGGCACTGGCCGGGGGGAGGCAGATCAGAGGCCAGGTGGGTCCAGAGCTTCCCTCGCAAGGTGTTGCAAAGTTTGAGTAGAGGAGGTTTGCAAAGTACTTTGCAATGGAGAGGCAAGAGGCACCATGGAACTGCAAAATATGATTCCCACCCCCAGAGCGTTTTCCCTCTTTCTGGAGCCTTGGCCCTGATTCTGTTCCATTTTCTCCTTGCCAAGGCGGAAGAGACGAAACTTCAACAAGCAGGCTACGGAAATCCTGAATGAGTATTTCTATTCCCATCTCAGCAACCCTTACCCTAGTGAGGAAGCCAAAGAAGAGCTAGCCAAGAAGTGCGGCATCACAGTCTCACAGGTAAGGGGACGGGCAAAGGGAGTGGCACCAAAATAACGGCCTCGCGTTTTTTCATCAGGGCACAAATAACCAGGCAAGCGTCTCTTTACTGATCTCCACAGCGGTGGTGGGTGAATTGTAGGGTGAGTGCTAGATTGGTAGCAAGAGAATAATTGGAGGCTGCATGGAACAATGGGGAACAAGGCCCATTGAGGAAGAAGGGTGGATTGGGAGGGGAAGTATTAGGGCAATCACCTGGAAGGGATGGAGATGGACATGGCAGGGGCTGGCTGGGACATTGCAGAGTAGAGCCGATGTGGAATTTAAGCAGTAGAGGTTGAGGGGTGCATGCCGGGGGGGCAAAGTGAGAGCTGAGCAAGGTGACCAAGAGATTTCTGGGGCAAGTGCTATGTTTGGCCAGTGCCTGGCCTCACAAGCTACTGAACAACCAACAAACACACGTGGGGCTTGGCAGGGGTTTACTTGCTGGAGCTGTGTGAGCAAGGACCAGGAAGGAGGCCGTGGCTAGAGTGGGGTTTCTGGTGTGAGGGTCTCATGGCTGCGGATGGGGGGGTGGATTTGCAGGGTTGTTTCTTTCCGTCTAAAGGCATAGAGGGTAATTACTCTTGTATTTGCTGAATGCAATGCCTCTCTCATCTGCTGACACATGCAATTTTTGTATGGAAACAGGATATTCACTAGCTACACCCCAAGGTGTGCCCATGTAATTAAAGGGGCAGGTGAATAGCCTCTGTGCCCCTGGAGCGTATAGCATTGACCGGAATGCTGATGCAAGGCTTGAGCAGAGCAGTTGAGCATCTAATTTGCAACCGCCACGTTCTTGGTTGTCAATTATTCTCAGCCCCTTCCTTCCCTCCATCCCCGCCCTGTTCCTCCTACTGCATTTGGCTGCCAGAGGCTGAAAAGTCTGGAACCAATCAGCATGCCCTCTTGTATTCTTGCCCACAGCCAATCCACATGCTTTCTGGGAGTCCGCCATCTTGTGCTCCCTCATGTTCACAGACAGGTTTGTGGTGTCATTTGGGTCACACGTTCACATGAAGATGACAACAGTAACTGGGGCCAGATCCCCACCCAGAGTGGCTGTTCAGTTTCTCTGGAAGGAACAACATCAAACTGGAGACTGTAGTCATCTGTAATCCTGAGGGAATCTTGCTAATTGCTCCTTAAATGCTCAATGTAGTGACCTCCAATCAACAACCATATCATCTACATTAGAAGACCCAAATGACCATCAGTCCATCCCAAGGTTACACATGGGAAATGGGGCACGCTGGTTCTAATAAACCAAGCACTGTCCTGGTGTTTCATCCTGAACTTTGAATTGACCCTGGATGTTTTTATGGGATCCAACAAAGTTCCATTAACTTCTTTGTAATTTGCATGCCATCTCTGCACTCCCTAGTGCCTGGAGCAGAAAGAGCCAATTTCCAGGAGAAAAACTGTTCTTGTGATCTTTCTGAGCAAACTGAAATAAGGAAACATTGCTGCTCTCCTAAGGATTTCCATCCCCGCATGGTTTTTCAGGCCAAAGCGGTACAGATAAGTTGAGTGCTTATCCGCACCAGGTCAATGGAATACCCCTTTGGAAACTACGTGAAGACACATAATCTCCCTGCACTGTAACTGCCTCAGTTCATGCTGCCTTGGGCTGTGCTCCTCTCAGCTCTCGCAAAGCAAACACAATTACCTTAGCTCCTAGGTTCATAGATTGTAAAACCAGAAAGGACCATTGTGATCATCTAGTCTGACCTCCTGCGTGACACGGGCTGAACCTCACCCAGTGATTTCTGCATCAAGCCCTTATCTTCTGAGTGAGCCTTTTTAGCAAGACATCCCATTTCCGTAACTTCAATGTCAGGCCTCAAAAGAAAGCCTGGATCTTGCTGAAAGGGGTGTCAATGAACCAATCATTGGCTCTCTTCCCTCTGACTCAGAAGGGGAAGCGTTCCTGACAGCTGGAGGTTATTAAAGGTGCGGTGCAGTGACCCTTTTTGCAAGAGTTGGGCTGTTAACTCCCATCTCATGGCCAATTTATAATCTCAGTAGTTAAATTCTGCCTCCTGAAATTCACCCCTCAGTCTCAGCTGGATACGTTTTTCTCTTCCAGTGCAGTGTTACTGTGCATTGTTAAATAGCTGCTGCCGTCCCCTCCGGAGGTAGCCTCATTGCAATGGTGTGCCAGGGGATTTCTGTGCAAAGTTTATCAAGCACTGGGATCCCTGCAGATGGAAGGCATCGTAGAAAACAGGAGGGATTATTTTTCTGTTTTCCATGCAGTGAAACAAGCAGCAGTTTTTCAGTGAGTGCAAAACACTAGCTGGATACCAGTGACCAATATCCAGCATTTAGAACGAGACAAAAGTCTCAGCTGTATCTCCATAATAAAATTCAGAGTAGCAACCTAAGGGACAGGACTAGCCTACAGAAGACTGGCTAACTGGTCTAGGAGGTGACATACCAAAGTAGATGGAATATTGGACTTTTCCAGTAATGGGTTTATGCATAGAGGCAGGATACCAGATTAGATGGGCCACAGATCTGATCTGGTTAACATAAAATAGGATTCCTGGCTAGATGGTTCAATAGCTTGAACTGATGTACTCAGAAGGCAGGGTGCCAACGCAGATGGACTTGTCTGGGGAAATCCTGTACAAGATGGCCATGGTTTCGAAAAGTGAGGCCAAAATGTTCAATAGTGATGAGTGATTTTGGGTTTCCAACTAGAAGGTTCACTAGAAGGACCTTTCTCTAGGGCACTTGATTTTCAGAGGGTGGTGCTTATCACTTTCTGAACAGTGGCCTATCCCCACTCCCGTTCACCCCATAGTTAAACATAACTATGCCTGATTCATGAGGGCAGGTAGGTCCCAAGAAATTGCTGAGAGCAAGTACAGCAGAAGGCACTTGGGGGCCTGTCTGTGTCTGTCTAGTCCGGCATATTGAAGCACTTCTGTTTCTGGGAAGCCGAGGGGCGCTCCACCAACGCCAACAAATATGGCATGGCAGGGAGAGTGCTCCAGGCCAGAGGAAGAGGGATTATTTTGGGGGCATACTGAGAGGACGGTCTGGCCATGCTCACTGAGCTTCCAGAAACAAGCTCCCATAAAAGGGGAGCTTACAGCTGACCCTAGCAGCTCTGTGTCTGTTGACCCTGCTGTTGGGACTTGATACGGATGAGCCACCCCGTGTGGATTAAATCAGAAGCCTCCTATCACCATCCTCAGACCTTCAACCCCAAACCAGGAACCTCTCCTGAGATGAGAACAAATTCAGCCAACTTTCCCTCCATCCCAAGCTCCCGTTATTCCTGCCATGGCCTCCGCACTCTTGGGCTCCATCTGGAAGTGGAAGCACCAAAATGCCAAGAGTCCCAGCTCCATGGCACGCAATTGGAAGGAAAAGGAAGTCCAGAACTCTAGAAGAGAGCCTGCTCTCCAGAGAGTTCATGCTCAAGATTGTAGACCCAAGTTGCTCAGACCTTTCCTGAATCTTTTAACTATGCAGATAAGTCTCAATATACACATCCATGAGGATTGCACCCTGCAACCTTCATAGTGATCCATTAAAGATCTGGAAATAGGGAATGTCATTGATATAATAAGGGGACGGGGACATGTCTGATTAGGTCCCCATCCTCTTTTGGTAGCACAACCGGTGGTAAATCCAGTCACAAAGACACCATGTCAATGGACTTTCAGCCTTCAAAAAACACAGTCTGGTTTCATTCCAGACCTGTTTTGAACAGTCCTTTGGGAACCTATTGATTTTTGCCACGACTGACCTTTCTCTAAAAACAGAGGGAGAACTCCAGATAAAACCAGAAGACACCCAAAATCTACTTCCAAAACTCAAGCCCAAATCTTTCCAATATTTTAAAAAGTTCTGTGCCAGTTTCAGTTCCATATCTGTGGTTACCCTTAGTGCTGGTTTCACAGATGGCACCAGAAGGGAAGTCGAGAGATCTGGGTACTGTTCCCAGCATTACCACTGACTTGTGGTATGACACCTTTCTCTGCTGCAGTTTCCCCGTTTGTCCAATGAGAATGATACTTGCCTGCTTTTATAAAGTGCTTTGAGGTTGATGGGTGCAACACACAGTGTAAGTGAGGAGAGAGACTATTGTTAATAATGCTGCCTGGTTCCAAATGGGACTGCATGTGCCAGGTTTGAGACACACCAGAAAGTATCAAAAACTTTCAGAGAGCTTGTTTTAGTGAGAAATGCAGCCCGATTTTGCCAACTCAAGAATTTCGTATATTTCAGATGAACATCCAGACTCTAAACTTTCAGGTGCTTATCCAGACCTTTTGGGGGTTGCCCACCACAAATCTTTATGCAATTGACTCAAAGCTACGTTCTTTAAAATCCTCAATGGAGACTAATTGCAATTAATCAATTAGAGCCTAGCTGTTAATATCTCTCCATGGTGCTCTCTGAGACTGATTCATTGCATAGGGCCAGATCCTCAAATGATGTCGACATCAATGGAGCTCCACCAATTTACGCCAGCCACTGATCTGGCCCATAGTTTTCCATTTCCTTAATTACTTCTGAAGAAGTTCAGTCTGTATTTATAAATCATAGTTCAACCTGTCTCATTCTGAAAATCTGTAGACAGTCGAGGCGCCATGCATGCAGCAGACTCTGCAAAGTTCTGTTGAAACACCTCCATTGATGGCTGCCCTTGCAAACTTTCCCACCTCTGCATCTGGGTTGGGGATGCATGATCTGAGCTGACAGCTTGGGATTGCGACCACCTGGCAGTGTCATGAAATGGGGCACCGATTGAAATCCGAACCAAAAGAAGCGGACAGCAAAGCCCCTAACAATCCCATTTTCTGTCACCTTCCATTGGAAGCCTGGTCTACACACACAAGTTGCACCAGTTTATTAACTGATGCAAGCTCAATTGGTATAAACCAGGTTTAAATTGGACTAAGAGTGTCCATACAGGTTTTGCCCTGATTTAGCTAAACCTTGAGTTATATTGGTAAAACTGTGTGTGTGGACCAGACCAGAGTAACCAATGCAGCAGCTGTACCTGTAAATTCTTCTGGAACGTGCTCCAAAAAGCAGCACATGCTACTGTGATGGAGAGAGCATTAAACCAGGGCGTGTTTGAGTGTGTGTCTGGGGGGGAATCATAGCTTCCTAGTGCATGGGACTGGCATTCTCATGAAAGGGACACCGACAGCTTAGTTTTAGGCACAAGGTTTCATTTTGTTTAGAGGAGCCAGGCACTGGAGTTTACACAATCAAATCAGAACAGAAGAGTTTCCTGGGTACCTAGATCATTCAGCTGAAACGGTTTATTTAAAAAATGAAAATCTTTCTCTTCAGTGCAGGGACCCTGAACCCAGCAGCCTTGAGAACCAGGAAGTGAAACTGACCAGGCTAGTTTGGCTGACCCAAGCTTGAGTGGAAATCAAATTAGATTTTTAAAATCCTAACACATTTAATAATGGTCTCGGGGGAGTATTCAAAGGCACAAGTGGGAGCTAGGCTCCCATTAAAAGACAGCTCCTGGAGTCCTGTGATTACGGGAGAATCTCAGCTTTTGTAAGTAAGCTTATAGCCCTCATAGTGGCAGAGAAAAGCTTTAAAACATGACCTGCGTGCACCCTAGAGGCTCAAATCCCAGAAGGGAAATTAAGGCCCCCCACCCCGATTTATTTTAAACCTCATGATTTTTAAACCAGTCTCTTGATTTTTGGAACCTGTCTCGTGATTGTGGAATGCTAGGGGTTGGCAATATTGTTATCTTGACAATGTGCCCTTAATGGAAGTTGAAAGAACAGGCATCTGCTCGCCTCTGCGTTGATGTTATTGACTTTATACTGCTCTGGGGGTCACCGGGGTTGGGATGGAGTCAGCAGGTGGAATCTTTTCCTTGCAAAGCTTTTAGAAAAAACTGCAATGCTTTAACTTGCTTTATTCCCCATTCCTAATCCTCCCCCGTGTCCCCACCAAAATGTGTTAAAGGTGAAACGTTAACTTTTTTGTCTTTTCTTGAACTCGCTCTAGGTATCAAACTGGTTTGGAAATAAGCGAATCCGGTACAAGAAGAACATAGGTAAATTTCAAGAGGAAGCCAATATTTATGCTGCCAAAACGGCTGTCACTGCTACAAATGTGTCAGCCCATGGAAGCCAAGCTAACTCACCCTCAACTCCCAATTCAGCTGGTTAGTTTTTTTTTTTTTGGGTTGTTATTGTTCGTTTTTTTTTTTTGTTTGTTTTTTCCTTTAATATCTGTGTTTTCTTTTCTTTTCTTTTTTCCGTTTTCTTTTTTCGGTTGGTTGGTTTTTATGTAATTTTTACAACAACAACAACAACAACAACAAAGAAAAAATATGGATTTAATTTTTTTCATTTTTTTTCCGTTCTGTTTTTTCGTTTGTAAAAGCAATGTGATCATGCTGTGTAACCGACGGTAACGTGTTGGGGGTTTTGCATGGATTAAAAATTCGCTTGAGTTGCTTGCTCCTCAGGAGAAAAAAATGTCCGTGCACAATTGATTTACTTCACCAGGGGCTGAAAGCATGAGTGACCCTGATTTTAAAAAAAAAAAAAAAAAAAAAAGACCCAACACTTACAGGATGTTCCAGATCATGCTATTTTCAGTCTGTTTTGTGTGGACTTTTATACTTCAATTTTTTGGCTGCTCACACCATAATGTCTGGATCACCTGCAAGTATGTGTTCTGTGTGAATTTTACTTTCCTTTAGTATCAGTATTGGGTGAGATCTTCTATCTTCAAGGAAATCCTTGAAGTGGGTTGGTTTGTCTGTCCCCCACCTCTCCCCTTCCTTAGCTGTTTATTGTGGTTTTCATTTCATTTGCTTTAAGGGACAAATGTATGTTTGATCAGTTCCTCTTACCCAGATTTCAACTCTTCTGCTAAGGAACTATGACGTGCCCGCTGTTTAATTCTAGCAGCGATGGGTGCACAGTGCCACCAGATAGAATCACCATTACTCCAAACGGGACATTTTTAGGTGCTTTGTACCGATTGTTCAAAGCGATGGGAGATTTGAGACCTAATTAAAAGAAACAGAGGTTAACTTGATGGCTGCCATGTGATTTAAATTCTCTTTATATATAAATTATATATCTATATATGCTTATTTTGCTTAAAGGAGAGAAATGTGAATACATTTGATTCTGTATCATTCAGCTTGGTCTGTGATTATGGTACCCCTTTCTCCAGTGCATGAAGTGGGTTGATCTCAGGTATGCTTCTGAATGCAGGGCCAGCAGAGATGTTAAACAGGCAATGGGTATTTTGGTATCAGTGAAACTATTTCTTCTTCTTAGGAAACCTGACATCATGCCAGTACTTGGTACGGCATTTTCAGGCGACCTAAAGAAACGTGGTCTTGACCCTGAGAATGCCCAGTCTGAATTAGACAGACATCAAACATGAAGGTAGAAATGGGAGGAGGATAGGGAAAACAGGACAAGGGTTCAATCAAATAAAGTAACTATTACGTTGGATAGTGAGGGAACCAAGAATCCAAAAAAAAAAAAAAAAAAGAACAAACTACTCACTGTTTCTCCAAACAATCCCTCTGGGGCTTGAAACTCCAATCTAGGTCCTTGATGGATTTTTATCAGTTACTCCTTTAACTCACGTCCCATGCTGTGGATCTAAAGATCTGCACCCAAGCCCTACTGCTGACCCATGTGGAGGGTTCTAAATGGTTCCATGTGAGCTACGGTTTTGTTTAGGATATAAACCATTTATGGTTCAGAGCACAAAACAGCCTCTAACTATTAGGGGTTAGGTTTCCCTGGAGATCAGGTTATCCCATAACTGCCCCACTGCATTGTTTCTCACCCCTTCCTCTGTAGCCTCCAGTACTAGCCACTGTCAGAGGCAGGGCACTGGACTAGGTGGACCACAAATCTGACCAGCAATTCCTGTGCTTCTGTGCTCTCTCCCCATCATGAATGCAGGTTTGTGTAGAGTTGTTCAAAAGGGTCAGGCTGCACTCACTGGTTTGTTATTGTAGGGTTGCTCAAGAGGGTCAGGCTGCACTCACTGGTTTGTTATTGTAGGGTTGCTCAAGAGGGTCAGGCTGCACTCACTGGTTTGTTATTGTAGGGAAGTACTAGATGGCTTCCACACCTTTTTTTCTTTCAAATAACTTCTAAAAATTTGTAAACTTCTACATTCTTTTAATCACTTCGCTGTTTTTACTTGAGATCCATTTGCAGAACAGACTGGGGCTCCTGATAGTGGCAACTCCCCTTTTTAAAGGCATGGAGTAAATTCAGCTGTGTGTGTGTATGTGTGTATTATATTTAATAATCTTTTTCAAATTGGAGGTTGTGAGTATCAGAGTCCAGAATCCACACAAACTTGTAGCCAGGGTGTGCGATTTTCACTCTTCTCCTATTTGCTCAATTTGAGCCTGATCCGAAGCCAAGGAAAAGTCTTCAATCTACTTCAATGGGCTTTAGATCTGGCCCATATCCGGCATAACAGCCACACCTCCAGTGGCTGCCCCAGTTGAATAATGGTGCAATGCGGCTCTCTTCCTGTGACATTCCCCACAGGCAGGAGCATGGCTGTGTAATGGGTGTAAATTGTCCAGACCATGCAGTAAACCATCAAGATCCTGCACTTTCAAGTCCTGTGGTTAAAGCATAGGACTTGGACTCCTTGGTCTTGTTTCTGACTCTCACAAAATGTGTGTCTACATCCCGAAATCATGTATCCTTCTTCTACTAACATTGCTGCACGCTGGTGCTAGCGCCGGAGGAACTGCTAACGTAGGAGGGACACTCACCGCCATGCCACAAAAATCTTCCGTGTGATTTTAGCAAGGTCTCCGTCACCTGGGAAAAGTCCCCTCCTCTCCACGAGCCTCAGTTTCCCCATCTGCAAACTGGGATTAATGATGCTTCCTATGGGGATTGCGAGGCTTGGTTAATTAGCATCTATAAAGTGCTGCGAGCTCCACAGATGGATGAAAGTAATGTTGGTTTTCTACCTGCACCTATTGTATGCACCCAGGCCTGCCGGAATGCACCTATCTGTTCACCTATCTGTTGAGGGGAGGGTGCCCTCACAGATAAAAATACATCACTATCTTCCAGTGCCTTTTCACAGCAGCTTAAGAGGAGTGATGGGGGTTTAGCAATACACTGATTGTTGGATTTACTTTGTGCTGTGGCCAAAGACCCTAGCAGCTTCTTCCCTTTTCAATGGGGGGAAAAAAAGCCCCAATCCTGACCCCTTTCTCAAACATGACCCAGGTTTGTCAGTGTGCTCTGGTCTCTCTCGTATTAGCTTCTCCTGAGAAGACTGTTGCTAATGGTCTCCGAAGTTACCCCCAACCCCTCTGGGACAGGATCCACAGGTACTGGCAGGGCAGCAAGAGGCAGCACTATGCCTGGCTATGATTCCTGGGCCCCAGTGGTTGCCCTATTGCCAGCAGAGGCCCTTGTGAGTCAGACACTGTGGGCCTTGGATTGCTCAGCAGCATCTCTGGAGTGTAATTGGAGAGCAGAACCCAGGTGATTTGACTGTGTGAGTCGCTGAGATAAATACCATCCGCTCATCTCTCTAGGCCCCATGTTTCAGAGCCTCCCCCTCCCCCAAGCATCGTCCTGTCTCTTCAGCTAAGAGCATCCTCCTGCCATGCCAGATCCTCTCTCTGCTCCCCAGGAGGCCTCTATCATCTCTTCCCCGGGACTGACAGCTTTGTCAGTTTCACCACGGTAGCACTCTTAGGGTCTGGCTTCCCCTTTCCCTTCTGGAACGTCCGAGCTTTCTTTCCATCAGCGTGTGATGTTTGGATGGGGAGCATGTGCTGGCGGGAGATGCCAGTCTAGCTGCTCTGTGCGCTGCCGTCCTCTGTGAGTGCAGAACAGCTACAGCAGCGCAAACTTCCCCCAGATGCCATCACAGGAAATCGTCTCTGCCCTGAGCGGCAGAAATCTGCATTCGGAGGTGGGAAGTGAATTCAGTCCCATGGCTAATTAGGACCAAACGCGAGGGTGGTTTTCCTGATGGGGGACGCCTGCCTGCGAGGAACTGCAGCAGGACCCTCCCAATTCATTTCACACCGAAGAGCTGCTATCAATCTGGGTTGGCTCCAGACTGGTGGCTAGATGTCAAAGGCTGTGTCATGCGCTCCATGAGCCCGCCAGTCCCCGCTGTTTAGTTTCTGGCAGGGCAGCCCTGCTTTACTGTATTTGCAGCTCATCCCCCAGTTAGCACATACGTTTTAACATGATGGGCTTCTTGCACACCCACCTCTGCCTCTAAGAAATCAGCCAGGTAACGGAGGCTAGGCTAAGAGGTCGCTGGGCATCGCTGGCCCTTGAGCGGTCTAATAACAAAAACAAAATGGCAAATGTCAATCCACATTGTATCCCCCCTCCCCACCACCCTTCACATGTCACTGTCTTCTCAGTTCTGTCAGCGAGCAGGGCAGGGAGCACGATTATACAGTGCCTAGCACAATGAGGCCGGGATGCCGAGTCGGGCGGCCAAATGCTATAGCAGCGTTAGTGTTAGATGATTAATTACAGTGCTGAGCAGAACTGGGAGTGGCCGACGGGATGGCATAGCAACCAACTGCATTGTGTATATGCAACAGCCCCGCCCTGCATTGTGTAGCTGCACAAGCAAGCATGGACACAAGAGGCTACTAATATGTCACCCGTGGTCTCCAGTTTTGGGAAGAGATCAGCATAGAAATGCCATCTCTGCAGGGCTCCCCTGTACCCCACTTTCCCCTACCACCACCACCACCCATACCCCTCGCTGAACTGGCTCCCCGTTCCACCATATCAGGAGACAGGGTAAGTTGCAAGGAGAGGTTGCCCCGCAGAGGAACTGACGAGGTGTCAAAGAGAACACCTCCGGAGCTGAGACACGGTTGGTAAGCAGATCCTTGCAGGGGAGCTGCGGGCAAGGAGAGGTAGAATTAGTGCTGGTATTCCCTGGCCTGGGAGCGTCACAGACTAGGGAGTGGTGCCTTTGGCTGATTAAGAGGCATATAGAGTCCTGCCCAGTCCTTAGAGCAGGCCTGCACAACTCGTAAAGCGGCGAGGACCATATTACTCCAAAGAAAACAGCTGAAGGCCGAAACCCCCCGAGCGCCGCCAACCCCCCCCCCCAGCGCCACCC